GTGGCCCACCCAGACATCTGAGAAAGGGCAGCATCCTAACGACGCCTGCCCGTGGCTGTCTCCCCATCCCAAGGCTCTCGGCAGCCAGCAGCCCAGCCCGACTCCTCTCAGGGCTGCCCTGTCCTCCAGAAGGTCCTGGCCCCTTCCAGCTGGTATAGACTGTGCTTCTGGCCCTCAGCGTAGATTCCTGAGACGGCCTGGCTTTCCTGACCCTGGGGGTATGAATGCTGAGCTGGCTCTGCTACGGAAGTACTATGGGAGGCTGGCAACCTCTTGCCCTCTCTGGGCTCTGGTGTCCTGTGCAGCACACGGGGCACGTTTACAAGGAAACTAGGCCTTATACTTGGAGGGTCTTTGGAAATTCACAGTCGTGCTTAGTGCCAGCATCCAGCTCCAGCCCAGCCCACCTCACCTGACTATAACAGGCTCCACAGTTGGGCCTTGGCCTGGCCCTGCAGCAACGCCAGCCTCATCTCTCCCCACCCCTCCTCACCACCTGTCCTGACTGTCTGCACTTTCCCCAGTGTGCTGCTCACCAGGCTGTTCCCTCAGGCTGTTCCCCCAGACCCCCCAGGCTGCTTCTCACCAACACACCTTTGCTCCTGCTGTTCCCTCTGACGGAAAGGCACCCCTTCCTCACTCCTTTATCGCTGACAAACTCCTACTCACCCTTCAAAACTCATTCCAGGGGCTGGCCCAGTGGCACAGCGGTTAAGTGCGCGCTCTCCACTTCGGCGGCCCTGGGTTCACAGGTTCGGATCCCAGGCGCACACTGACGCACAGCTTGTCAAGCCGTGCTGTGGCAGCATCCCATATAAAGTAGAGGAAGACTGGCGTGGATGTTAGCCCAGGGCCGGTCTTCCTCAGCAAAAAGAGGAGGATTGGCATCGAATGTTAGCTCAGGGCTGATCTTCCTCACACACACACAAAAAAAACAACCTCGTTCCAGCTCTGGGGTGCCCTCCCTTTCACCCCTGCCTGCACCTGGGGTGGGCAGGGCCCTGGCTGAGGGGCTTTCCACTACTGCGCTTACCATCCCAATGTATCAAGTCACACGGTGCCTGCTGCCCCGTCCGCTGCAATAGCTCCTCGGGGACAAGACAAGCTCCCAGCGTGGTCACGTCTGTGTCCCTGGTGCCCAGTACAGGGCCTGGACACATGGAGCTGCTGGAGAGCGTGTGTTGAACCACATGGTCCCTCATGTCCTTAGCCTGGGTAGGGGGAGAGGCAGGACTCACCGCCCCAAAAGATGAAAGGCAATGCTCCTGCTGCTGCCCTATGCCCACTAATACAGTCACGGAGGTCTTGGGTGGCAGTGGATTCATTAGGGCCAAAAGCAGCGCACGGCTGGGGAGGGACACAGGAGGGGGCTTCACCCAGCTCCCTGCCCACCCCGCCAGCCACTGCCCCGGCCCATCGCAGGGCCCCTGTGTGAATGTGTGGGAATCCTAGTGAGACCTCTGCCTCAGACAGTTCCCAGCTGCATCCTGCCCAGGTGCCTGGGGCTGGGATTTGGCCGGGTGGTGGAGGAGGAGGTGTGATTCATGGCCTCCATCTGTGTTTCAGGCCCACTGGTGGCATTTCTGCTGGAGAGGGTTTAGAAATGGGGGGCTGTGTGCACTTGGCACAAGCCAGGCCTCCAGGCGCTGGTGTCTCGGGCGCCACACAGCCCATGTGCAGGGACACAGAACCCTGGGTGCCCACGAGCCCCCTCCCAGGCTGGAGCAGAGGCCCACGGCTAGTCAGGGCCCAAAGAAATCTGGCAACACTCTAGAAGCAACAGTACAAACCACCTGAGCCCCAGTTGCTTCTCCCCTCCTGTGTGTCAATGTGGTGGCTTTCTTGCAGGGAGGGACAGTGTTCAGGAGGACAGCCTCAGAATGTAGAAGCCAGACCTGGAGCCTGTGGGGTGGGGGAGCAGAGCAGCCAGTGGGTACTGACCACCTGCGTGCCCTGCCCTGAGCTCCCCTGCACTGGGGCAGGGGAGCCCTGGGCCTTGCAGTGGGAGATCCCTGCCCTAGTGAGTGAGGAAGCAGGGAGCATGAGCCCTGCCCTTGTGGACTCAAAGGCCAGTGGAGGACAGGAGAGCCAGCCCCAGGGTCTGGGCAAGTGGTTAAGAGTGCAGACTCGGGAACCAGCTCCCGCACTGAGACAAGTCCCGTCACCTCTTCCTGCTCGCTCTCCTCCTCTGTAGAGTGGATGTAATGGTAGCTGCCATGTTGGGTTACTGGAGGGATGAAGTTAGATTGATCCATGTAAAGTATTTAGAACAGTGCCCGCCTGTGGTGAGCTCTGGTTGTTATTACCTGCCTGGTTCAGGCTCTAGAAACCCAGAAAAGGAAGCTGCCATCTGTTCTAGCCAAGGAGAGTGGGAAAGGCTTTTGTCAGGAGGCTGTCTCTGAAGAATGGATCTGCAGAGAAGGGTGAAGGTGCCTCCATCCTGTTGGTGTAGGAACTACAAGGCCCAGAGGCAGGACAGAACAGAACCTCTGTTCCTCCCCCAGAGGTCCTGAGCCTGTGGGAAGCGGATGCGAGTGGGCAGCGCTGGTGGAAGGGGAGCTGCGCTATGAGGCTGGAGAGGGGGTAGGGTTGGGATCACAGGGGACCTTGACCCTGAGCTGGGTGAATCAAGCCCCCCAATACCACTGGGCATCTCTGTGCTGCCTTCTTCCCCCCCCCCACTCCAGCCTGATGCCTGCCCTGCTTCCTGGGACCCCATGGAAGAAGGACATTCCCAGGCCCCACAAAGAACTTCAGTCTTCACATAGCAACTGTCTGTTGTGTCTCACCACACTTTAAGGGGCGAGGGGCCCGTTAGCACCCATTTTATAGATGAAGCACCTGAGACCAGGCGGGTCCTGCTGGGGCCTGCCTGGGGCTTCAAGGGGCATGCTCAACTCTTGGGATATGGCTTCCCCTCCCTCTCAGCATCCCACACTTGCTCTGTGTCCAGTGATAATCCTCCTGAGGGGTCCACTCAGTGCCCCCACTGCCACCCGCCAGAGCAGGCCTGGAAGACAGCCATGTCTGGGGCCTGGCTGAGCGCAGCCGAGGCCTCCGCATGGTGCATTATTGACAGGGCTTCTAATTGTGCGTTTCCCAAAGTCTATAGGCCTTTGATGAAAAATTCATGTCACGCCTGAGGATGGGAGCAGATTCAATCGATTGGCAGCGCAGTGGGCGTGGGAGCCCTTGGCTCCTCTCAGGGAGGGGGCGCTGAAGGCTGGACTGGGAGGGGGCATCATTCTGGCTTTGCTGTTATCATGGCTTCTGGCTCCAGGGTCTTGGGATGGGAGGGGCACACAGAGCAGAAGACAGCAACCCATTTCCCCAGTGGGGAGGCTGAGGGGCAGGATCAGAAAGGTCTAGGCCTGCGTCTGGGATGCCATCTGGGTACCTCAAGAGAGGACGGCCATCTCCATCATGAGGTTCATTTTCATTTCCCCAGAGGAGTCTTAGACCCTCCAGAGCCCCCATGAGTCACACAGAGGAGAGAGTGACATTTCCAGAGCCACCCCTGTGCCAGACGCTCTGCTTGGAGCTTTACACCCACAACCTCATTAAATCCCCAACCGCTCTCAGAGATGAGCTCAGTGATGGTCTCCACCTTATGGGGGAGGAAACAGGCTCAGAGAGGTTCAGTGACCGCCCTGTTCACGGTCACACAGATATTTAGCAGGCAGGGTCTAGAACCCAGCACTGAGCAAACTCGAGGCCCACTGTCTTGGCGCTGCCCCTGGCCAGCTCAGATATAAGACACAAAGCAGTATGGGGCTTGTCCTGCCCAGCTCCCCGCCCCGGCCCTACTACGTAGAGGAAGAAACCCCATTAAGTAAAAATGGACTCTCCGGGGTCTCCAGGTGAATTAAGTGAAAAATGAGGCCTGCAGGGGAGAAGAGTAAGGGCCCCCTGCAACACCAACAGAGGCCAGAGGCCCCCATGCCGAGTCCTGAGCCAGCAGCCAGCGGCCGGGGGTAGGGGTGCCTTAGACAGGGTGGAGCTTTTGGAACAGGTCAAGCTGTCTGTCTTGGACTATCCAGTCAGAGGTTATTGTTGTGCCTCCACTGAGGCCCCAGAGACCCCCAACATTCATCCATCCACTCGTTAAACAGGGGAACAAATATTTATGGAGTCCCAGCTCTGTGCAGGCCCCTTGCTAGGTCAGATGGGAGGCCTATCAGGAAAGGCTTTGAGGCCAAGCTTCTCTGGGACAGACAGGCTGAACCCAACTCAGCTGGGAACAGGCCAGACAGACCCCTCCATGCCCTGGGAGGGGGTCTCTGCAACCCAGGACAAGGCCAGTCTTACAGACGGCTCTGCCTTAGAGACTAAGGCCGTTTCTAGGGGGTGGGCTGCCTTGTTTGGGTTTGTTTTCCCTTTGCTTCCCAGTGAGTTCCTTTTAAAAACATCCACCCATGTCTCCGCTGAACTAAAAGGAAAGGAATTTGTCCAGACCATCAGGAAAGCAGAGATGGGAAGGCCCCGGGGGCAGGCGTGGGGCCCTAGGCCACACTGTGCAGCTGTGGAAGGAGCCCAGCCACTGTCGGGGGATTGCTGGGGGTGGGGGATGGAGGAGCAGAGAGAGGGGAGACTCGGGGGCAGAAATAGGGGCTGATGAGCAGAAGGAAGGGAGACTGAGGGTACGGGCTGAAGAAGAGGCAGAGACAGTAAAGACTGGAGATGCAGCGGGGAGGCAAGGGGAAGACAGAGGGCTGGCTAGAGGGCAGGTCAGGGGGAAGGATGCTGAGACTGGGCCTGGGGAAACAGAAGGGCTTGCCCTTTCCTGGGCTCCTGGCCCCACAGCCCTCCCAGGCCCTGCCATCTCTTTGCAGTTCCCTGGCCAAGGAATGAGCCTAGCCTGATTTCAGCCACCCCTCCCAGATGCCCCCCACCCTGGAACAAAGAAGAAGTGGCCCTGTGGGCCTGCCTGCTTCCAGCTCAGGGCTGGGCTCCGTCACCAGGCAGTCGCTTGTTGTAGCAACAGTCCCCAGGGACCTATCCTGGGGAACAGGACTGCTGGCGAGAAAGATGGGGGAGCCAGGGTCCCCATCCCCTCCAGCCCCCAAGGTTGCCCCAGGCCTCCTTGACAGCCACTCTGTAAGTCTGCCCCCATACCCACTGGTTCTGGGAAGATTGCTTGGCTCACCTAGCGGACAGGTGTGTTGGGGTGTGTTGCCTGGCAACCAGTAGAGGTGGTGGTAGAGCAAGGTGGGGGAGGACCAGAAGATCAGGCCTGTGGGCATTGGCCTCTAGATGCCCGTGGTCACAGGAACCTTCTGTGGGGCCCCCGGCCCAGCCCAGGCCACCTGAGCCCACACCCAGGAGCCCAGAGAGGGAAGAGAGAGGGCCTCTGGGAAAATCCCTTAAAGTGACCATTGTCTCCTGCTAATCTGGGCCCTGGCTCTGGCCTCTTGTAGGTCTAGCCCTACATCCTAGAAAGTGGCTGGGCCTGGGCTGGCCTGGGCTAGCCTGGGGCAATCAGGCCAGATGGCTTGCTGGGAGGGCAGAGCTCACAAGGGCTGTCAGGCAGAGGGGGTGAGGCAGATGGGAGCATCAGGAGGAGGTCAGCCCCAGGCCAGGGGGCTTAGTGACAACACCTTCTCTTTCGGACCTCAGTTGCCAAGGCATTTGCTCTTCCATTGTGGCAAGAACCACAGAGCACACCCCTAACAGGGATCCTCACCCCAGCTTTCAGAGGAGGAGCACAGAGTGGGCAAGGGCCTTGCTTAAAGTCGTACGGCAGATGTGGGCAGAGGCTGGGTTAGAAGCCAAGGTTCTGGACTTCAGCCAGGGGTCTCCCCCTACTCCACATTGGGCATTCGGGGTGGGGAGATCTGGCAGGGAGGTGACCACTGGGGACAGGGGTTCTTTATGGGAGAGTAAGCAGTTGAGGCCAGGGCCAGGGTCTGTCCCTCCACCAGCCCCGTGAGTGCCTGGCCCTGTACTTCCCTTGACTGGGGGCAAGAGCCAGCCCCAAGGTGAATCCAGGAGAGGCACGACTCTGAGCCACAAACCAAGGAGGAGTGATTGATGGCTGGGCTTGGGGTGGCCCAGTGGGTCTTCCTGGAGGAGGAGGGCCCAGAGTGGAGCCTTGAAGGTCAAGCAGGGTTCTGGGAGGGGAAATGGGAAGGGAAGATGGAAAGACAGAGCATCTTCTAGGAGGTGCCTCCCCCAAGCCAGCCCCACCCCCAGCCCTATTGTCCCGGCCCAGCCCAATTAGCCCCGCCTGGCTCCTACAGGGGCCAATTAGGCAGGGGCTGAAGTCAGCACCGGCCAAGGCCTCGCCACCCCTCGGAGCTTCACTGTGCTAAGCACAAAAGCTTTCTAGACACCATCCCTCCTGCAGCAGGAAGCGGAAGAAAGAACAAAAGAAAGGGGAATTCACTCCTTTTGTTTCTTTGCTGTAACCTTGGGCCGAACAAAGAAGCAACTGCCTCCCCCTCAGGGAAGGTGTTTTAAACAGCAATTTGCACAGGTTTGCTTATGGTTGGGAGGCTCAGCTGACATTCAAGGGGAGCCAGGAGCAGGGATCTGGGGTGAGCAGGGCCCTGGCTCTAGGACTTTCTATGGCTCTGGACTGCCCTCGGTTCAGAAGCAGAGCTCCTGGGCTCGGCCTCAAGAGTGGTGGCAGGTGAAGTGATGCTCCAGGATCACACTTCCTCCAGGCCCCCACCCCCAGGGCCAGGGCCCCAGCGCAGAGACTGCCCTGCCCTCCACCCTGCCTGGCCCTGTGGGCTGGAGTGCGGCTTCTCCCACTCGGCCACTCCCTTACTGCCTGACCTCGGGCGGGCGGGTGAGCCTGCCAGCCCTAGGCCTCAGGTCCCCACATCCCCACCTGCCAATGGGGCTCCCAGGCCTCCGTGGCCCGCCCTCTGGTGGTGATGAGGAAGAGGCTTGTTCTCACGGCCGTGGGGTTCTGTTGTCACAGTGTGTCAAGGAGTGAGGGAGAAGGAAGGGAGCTCAGCTGGGTGGGCAGTGGCCGAGGGCACAGGGGCCATGGATCCGGAGGCATTGGCCTGGGTGTACCTGTGAACGAGGGGCTGCTTCGCCACCGGGAGCCCTGACCCCTAGGGAAGTACTGTTCTCTTTCAGCAGATCTTCAGGCACCATCTGACTTCCCCCTCTCCTCCCTGAGGCAGGCCCCTGGAACTGGGCTGTTGCTCAGAGCTCTGATCTAAGGACTGGGGAAGGCCAGCACCAGTTTGCACAAGCTGAATGTTTCCATTTTATTTTAAAGCAATGTGGTTAATTCCAGTTAAAAGTTAGCCAAGAGTGGCCTCTTGGACATCCTGAGGGACCTGCAGGAGCTCTGTCCGTCAAATGGTAGCAAATCTGGCAGGAGCAGGGTCCTCGGCCCCCAGTCCTGAGGAGGTCTGCCTGGCCCTACTTTCCCAACTCAGGACAGCAAGCAGAGGCAGCGGAGAGGAGGGGAGCCCCTTCTGTGCTGTCAGGGTCGCCTGGGAACTGGAGGAGAGTCTGTAGGTGGTCCCTGGGGGGATGAGGAGTGCCAGGCTGCGAGGGGGCGGTTAGAGATGGCTTCCTGGCGAGGTAGGTGAGGATTTGAAGATAGAAAGTGGCCCAGGAAGGCTGGCCCGTGAGCAGAGTGGCCAGGGCAAAATTCTGAAAGGGGGTCTAGTTGTGCTGGCACAGACTGCCTTGAAAATCAGAGTTAGAAGTTTATCATGAGGGCATGTGGGAGCCACTGAAGGGCTCTCAGAGGCCAGGGAGAATGTTCCGTTATCTATTGCTGCGTAGCAGACTACCCCAAAACTTGTGACTTAAAGCAATAATTTTTCTGTTTTTATTCTATCTCACAGTCCTGTGGATCAGGAGCTAGGCCGAGGCCCAGAGGGGAGGGCTGTTCTCCATCCACAACATCCTCAGCTGAGATGACCCATGGGGCAGGGGCTGGAGCCGCTGGGGCTGGAGCCGCTGGGGCTAGGTGGACCTCACTCTCTCCCACGCCATTGCTTAGGGTTCCTCACAGCGTGGGGGTCTCAGGGTAGTGGGCCTTCTTCCCTAGGGAACAGCAAGTGTCCCAGGAGGGACGGCAGAGGCTGCAAGGCTCCTGATGCCCTGCCTTCAGAAGTCCCAGAATGTCACAACGCTGCATTCTGCAGGTCTCTAAGGGCGGGGGGAGTTAGACCCCACCTCTCAAGGAGAGGAGTAGCACAGCATCTTCAGCCATCTTTCATCTGCCAGAGAGGAATGCTGTGTTCTGAGGCAGCACAAAGAAAGCTCAAAGCACAAAGAAAGCATAAGGGAGCCAGAGAATTAGGAGGCCAGCCTGGAGGAGGAGGCCACAGAGACCAGACCAGTTTACCAGGAGCAGCGAGAGGGGGCTGCCCTACCCTGGTGCCTGGGCACTTCCTGCCACCAGAGGATGCCCCTCTGGGCAGAGGAAATCCCTGGGGGGAGGGTGGATACACTACATTATTAGCTGGTTTCTCAGGGGCAGGGGGGTGTCATGAGGAGAACTGGCCCCTCTTTGCCTTGTGTAGGGGTCCAGAGACACCAGGAAACAGGCCTGGCCAAGTCCAGGGGGTGGGAATCTTTCTATCCCTGACTTAGAAAAGCAGCCCCTAAACGCCCTCTGAGCGCCTCCTGTACTGGAAGGGGCTCGGGGTCTGATGGGCGTAGGTGACGTGCACCCCTCCCCTCCCCTCCCCCAGTAGACACCTTGCCTAGGAGAAATAGCCCCAGTCCCTGGTGACAGGAGAAGGTCAAGGGCGGGTGGCATCTTACTCTGCCCCCTTGGAGACCATAGCTCTGTACCCCACTCCAGGCTTGGCGCTCTGGTCTCCGTAGGACACTCCCTCAGCAACGCCTGGGAAACCCAAGTGAATCTGCAGCTCTGCCCGTGAGTGGGGCAGCCTTGACAAGTCACCCAGCCCTTCCACTCTGGGCTCAGCTGCCTCCTCGGGAAATTGGGAATGAAAACGCCTCCCTTGCAGATTCATTGTTGGGATTAGAGAAAAAATATATAAAGGGCCTGGCCCGTGGTGGGCATTCAACAAAGGGGAGCTGCTGTCATGAGGCCCTGTGACCTCTATGGGCCCTGCCCGGGCTTCGTGTCTGTAGTGTCTTCCTAGCTGGGTAGAAGAATTGCAAAGATAAAGATTTAGGCTTTAGTTGGGGTGTGTGTGTGTGTGCATGTGTGTGTGTGTGTATGTGTGTGGTTGTTTGGGGCACTTTCTAAACTGCATCCAAGTCCCTCTCAACTGTTGAGACGTGTGTTGACCCTTGAGGCACAAGGGTCAGCCTCAGTTGTCCACTGCTGTGTAGGTGTTCCTTCAGTCAGGTCACTGCAGAGCTTTGAGATGGCTCTTATCCCAAATCTCTCCCCTCCCCACTCAGCCCCATCATTTGCTCTGGGGCTGGTTCAGGACAGAAGCCCCAGTTGAGGATAGAGATTTGCTGTGTGACCTCTGGCAAGTCTCTGCACCTCTCTGGCCCCCATGGTGGTTCTCTGCAGAGGGCACCCATCAAAACCACCGAGATGGGAGTTCAGGGGCAGGAGGTGTAGGAAGGTGGGCTGGATCATCTGGAGGAGAAACATGTGTGTCTGGGGCAGGATAGCAAGACAGCCCCCTATGCATACCCCGCCCCACCATGAGCTATGGGGCCCGCTCAGGCCAGCCTCGTTCCTGCTACAGGCTGAAGCCAGAGCATCTGTGGGAGGTGGCTGCCCTCTGCCGGCTGTAAAGGCAAACCACATGGCAGGTAGCCTGGGCCTGCTAGCGATGGATCTTTGGGGCCTGGGACCCAGAGGTTGGATGGCTGCCCAGGGAAGGGCAAAGGGGGCGAGGGTGTGCGCCTTCCCAGCAAACCCGCTGCCCTGGCTCGGCCTTGCCACCCACCCTCTACACCCACTCCACTTCCTGCAGAGCCCTGCCACCCACACTCCTGATCCAGACACCTGTCTACACCTGCCCCAGCCTCAGACCTCTTTCCTTCCCCTCGGAGAGTGAAGCCCCTCCCCCGTGCTCCAGCCCATGCCCCCCATACACCCCTCCCTGCCTGTCTCCTAATCCTCCAGAAAGTCCTCTCTCTCCAACCCAAGCCTCTCCTCGATCCTGGGTCCCCAGCTACCTCTG